GTGCATAAGCCATACCCTGCAATCTGTCATTAGTGTAATGTTTCAGTCACTGTGCTTTTGGCATACATCTTTTGGTCTTGCCACTGGGACCTCGGTCATAACAACAGCAATTTCTTCTGGATAAAAATTAGATTGGAATGTATTTTGACATTGTGTATTGCCCATCTGATTTCTAAGTCACTGGATGGCTTCAGGTTACTGTCTGGACTAGAAATAAGTAGAATCATCCAGTCCCTCTGGGTGGCTCTAACTAAGTCAGTCCACTAAAACACTCCTGTGAACTTCACTTGGCTTTGGATCAAATCTTTAGCATACAGTATATCTTTGAGGTCTGTGGAAGTGTATCGTTGATACGAGAAAGTAAATCTTGCCAAAGCGTACTAAAGCTAGTATGCACTAGATTTGTATGTTGGGACAGCTTCTCTATTAAAAGACATTGCCATTGACAGGGGATCTCACCCTGTCACCTGCCTGCAAGCTAAAGGCACCAACCCAGGCCTTGATCTGTATGCATTTTAATTTTTCTACAATGAACTGCTCACATTTGTGAAGTGAGGCAATGAAAGCTTGCAGAACTAAGGTTTCAGGTCAGTTCAAAACCTTCACCCGTTGCTTGTTTACAAACAGAAAGCTCTGAGATGTAGATCATTTTAGGTACTGAGGTGTTTAACTTCAATCAGTCCTAAAGAGAGTTATCTATCATAGCCTACATTCCTCTAACGATTTCACTATTTGGATCTTTTCCCCTCAGCAATCACTGGTTTAGATCAGGTTAAAATGTTCCTCTGTAGCTCTCGTTGCTGCAGACGTTCAGGTACCAGGGAAGACTGGGCGATTTAAGAGTGCCCTGTCTCTCAAAGTCAGGCCGACAGAAGACCTAGCTTAGCAGTCCCATAACACCATTTAATTCATAAAACCTAACTTGCACAGATGTTTTTATAAACATGTGAATGATTTATACACTAGAGTTACTTGTATGCACAAAGCATTTTAAAGGTTATAATTATCAATTAAAAGATAGTTAAAAATTATATATAAGTAATGTAGCTTTCTGTAACAGCCATTTCTTCAAAACTAATAGTTTAAAAAAGCTATAGTTTAATCTAATGATAGATCATCTGATGCCTGATCTCAAATCTAAATTAAAGGTAAGACCTTCATTAACTAGGGCCATAGGCCCTCAAAATATACTTAGAAGGGAAGAGAGTGAAAAGGTGTGTGTAAATGGATACTGAACATTTATATTTTTGTATGGTTCTTTCCTATAATTTTTCCTTTAATTCTTCTAATTGTATTGTACATAACTAGAACATACTGTACTATGATCATTGGATAAATCTCAGTTTTTAAATTGTTATCACCTTCTGAATACATCTGCCTTAGGACTTTATTTTGTTTGTAAGCTTTTCATTTTAACTTATCTAAATAATTCTGTTTTTCCATTTACACTCTTTTACACTGAGACAATACATGCCAAGTTTCAAACTGCAGAATCTTTGTGTGTTTTCAGTAATATAATTCATAACGGAAATGTTGATAATGGTTTAACTGTAGCTTCATGAATGTCAATGCTGTAAGACAAAGAGCAGAACAAGGTAGAAACAGAGGTTGTTAAAACCAAACCAAAACAAAACTCAAAAAGAACCCCAAACCCAAAGAGTGAGTTTTCTGTATAGCAAGATTAAGTGAGAGAGAAGAAAAATGCAACAACTCTATGAGTATTCAAAGGCACAATAAAAACAGACTCTGTGGGGACTTCTCTTCTTATTGCTTACTGAATTCCCCCAATCTTCTCATAAAAATGGACCCTGTAATATAAAAATTAAAGTGGAAGCAATTTTTCTAAAGTTCACCCTTTTTTATACTCATGTTGGAAAATTGTAGCAATTTTTCCTTCCTTTGTATTATACAATTCCCTGGTTCTTTCTTTATAGTAATTCTTCTTTTTTTAGGAGGTTGCTTTTTATTATAATAGCTAAACTGGAGACAAAGCTCCAGTAAACTGAAAAGAAGACCACTCCTGACGTAATTAGAATCAATCATTGAAAAATATTTAATTCCTTCATCTGAACTGTTTGTGTTCAATGCTGATGCTGAAAACGGTACATCGGTCTTGGTCAGAGGCTGTAGACTGCAGTCTCTGAATCAATAATCCCCCAAGTAGGGTTCACAAAATTTAGGTTACCTAACCTACAAGTTAGGACTTGTGGAGCTGATGCACAATCTATTGCACAAATGGACTTCAAGTCACCTGAAGACACAGTTTTGGAAGCTGAACTCACAAATTAAGTTCCTAGAAAAAAGTCTTTGGAACTGCTAGTGTCTGTACAGGAAAAAGTCTCCTAAGCTGGAGAGAACAAAGTCGACACTTCATTCAGAAATAAAACGCATTGTTCTCCCATAGCTCTAGAGGGATACAAGAGAAGAATGTGCTTTTGATCACAGTTACAGAAGACAGATAGGCACCATTCTACACAAATGCATAAACCGCACAGAATCTGCAGACCACTGCTGCTCTGTTGTATTTTGAAAATGTCCAGCTCATTCCGTAATTCATACTGAGTGCTTATTTACCTGATGAGTTACATTAATACCACTGAGACTTACAGGCGTAATATACTCCATCTTTCAGACAGAATAACATAGAATAATTTGCATTCCATTTTTACCCTACTGTTCAACCAAAAAAAGTGTATACTGGTCCCAGTAAATCTGTTCAGAGTAACATTTTCTTTGGGCTGCTGTCAAACTGGAAGATATTCATACATCATATACTAATCTTTATGTGTATATATAATAGGATTATGTGCATATGAAATGTGTTTTAAAGGCAATTCCTACGTACTGCTTTTTCATAGGCATATTGGTATGCTTATGTTATTAGGTATAGATATTACAGACAAAATATTTGTAACCTTTTTGTTTTGGATTGAAAACTAAACTTTTCAAAGGTTTCTTGAAAAGAAACTGTACCAAAACATTGATTTTGAGATAAAAACAGATTCTCTCTTTCTCTCTTAGGAAATCCATCCTAGACATGGAAGTCTGTCTTGTTACAACATTGATCTAATCAATCCCATTTTCACAAAAAAGATTGATTTTATGAGATGTCAGCTAACAAAACAGACCTAAACCTGCTTTTATAACATTTTTTTGCAGGTCTTATTGCATTAGCTGGATTATTCATATGCTTAAAATTAAGCACATATTTGTTTATAGGTTTGGGATTGATGTGCTTGTGGCATAGTCAAAAAAGAAATTTTCACACAATGTATCACACATACCAAACACACAATACCACACTACAACAAAGCAAACATCGGTTAATAATTCAGGCATTTAAATCCTGAGAAAAACTATCTATGTTTTGTCAAATATTTTGAAAAAGGAAATTCACTGTCATGCAGTTTGCCAGAGTTTAAATGTTGACATTGTAACAGAAAGAGATTCAATTTCAGACTCTTCAACTTTCATTCTTGTAATTTAGGACCCACCACTGTTTCTTTAATATATGTTATAAAGATACAGCTCCTTTGAGCAAAAAAAAAGCACAAAGAGCCATCCAGGCTAATTCAGGAGAAGTAACATTTAATAACCAACTGATTGTGAAGACCCATTGACTTGAGGAATGTTAAGTAGTGTATGGAGTGAAAAAGTCTTGGAGAACATCATAGGTATAGTAACGAAGTGGAAAGTCCCTAGCTGTCTTTTTTAAACTTGTCTGGAAGGGTTTATTGACATGATAGATCTCAGTATGAATTTCTCTTTCTCTTTGCATAATGATTTCTAACGCATGCACAATCATTTGACATGGGAGTTAGAAGATGTGAAGATTGTAGATGGACATTTATTTCTTTGATTTTTAAGTGTTAATAAGGCAATAGTACATATATTCACTAGGTTACTGCTTTCCAAATTCTCCATTGATCTCTCTCCTGTTATTTCAAAGTCACCTTTATTGAGATAAGCATCTGCTACATTCCCCTGTCAGAGACAGGATACTAGGCTGAATAGACTTTCAGCTTAATCCAGTCTAGCTGTCATAAAGTCTTACAAACTGTAAGTTCCAGAAACGAAAAGAATCAAAATTATTAGTGGAGGTTCAAAAATATAATACAATCATACAAAATAATTACCGTCAGGACTCCTTCACTTTACAAACATATAAAATGCACTTACTTTGAGGGTGAGAAGGGGGAAGAATTCCTTCCATTAGAAAATATAGTCACAAAGCTTTGAACAAATAAATTCACACACTGCAGAGTACACACACACACATGCATGCAGGCATGCACGTACATACACGCACATGTGCACACACACGCACATACACACACACACATGCTTAGAGTTTACACTGCATTCTTCTGATGCCATGATTATTATTTTATTTGTACACCCACCTTTACTGCACATTCTAAACAAACAATAGACAACAGTGTAAGGACTTTTTTCCTTGAAACTGCAACAAAACAAGTCTCAACATTTGCAAAACATTCCTTTATTATTAGAAATAAATTATTTTGTATAAAAATTAGCATGCGTTGACCATTGCATTTATTTTAGCATAACCCAGGACTTAATTCAGTCAGCCGTCACAAGAAACAAACTCATCTTCTTTTACGAGTTGAACAATGTAGGACAGGAAAGGAAATTGCCACAATCACAAAAAAAGTACTTACAAATATAACATCAGACATGATTTATTTCAACAGCATTTTTTTTTCACAAGTTAACATTTGTTTTCCTTTTGTGATTTGCTTCCTTTTGTGAGTGAACAGTTCAGAAGCTTGACAATCTGTCTCTATGTTATAAAACTGGATTTTTCCTTCCCCTGTCTCTTTTTGCCTTTTGCCTCTTGTTTAATCCTTGTCCTTTAGGAGACTGACTATTGATTTGAATGTAGTCTACTGATATTTCCAAGACTGAATTCTGGTGGTGGTAAAGTCTATGTTTGCAAGATCCCATCCTGCAGGTCTTCCATTGAATTTCATCCCTGCTCAGTTTGCCTGATTGCTGTAACTGACATAAGTTGTCTTGGTAGAGGAGGCTGTAAATCAAAAAACCAAAAACAAACAACAACAAAAAATAAGATTCAGGATTTTTAGAATCAAGAGAGGAGGAAAAAAGAACATATTTAGCATTTGAACTCAGTCCAACTATGTTTCTAAATAACATGGCCCATGTTCATGGAATAAAGTAAGAAAGTTTAAGCATGTATATAAGCGGTAAGTTGGATCTCAAGTTCTGTGTTCTTGATGATAACTTACTTTGTTTACAATTTGGGGAAGCAGAGGTCAATAGAGAGGAACAATGATGAGTGGTTTTAGCATACCTGTAATAGAATTTCAACATACTATTTGTCTGGTATTATTTTGCCTGATTGCTGTACAGACATTTTTTTATTTAGAGCTTGGATTTTTCTCTCTTATACTTGTTGAAGACAATTTTGCAGCTAGTGGGGGGTTGTCCATCTAGAAGGAGGCTTATGCTCCTTGAAAGGAGCAAAGCCTAACACGGCAAACATCTCTCCAAGTTAGCAAAACTGCGTAGCTAGTACCTACAGCACATATTCTCTGGAGAGCCTTCAGACACAAAGCATCGCTGTATTTTAGAGCTGCCATGTTATTATGATCTCCTTATGTAGATAGTCAGCTGATCATGTCTTTGATCAAAGCTGATACCTCCTGTTCAGAATGAGGCAATAGGTTGAGAAAGTTAAATAAACACCTTTACTATTGCAAAAGTGAACAACTGTGAACCTTACGTGGAAGTTTGTGTCAGCTTCTAGCCCTTAACCTTTTTCTGTAAAAATTATGGCCCAAGTCTCCACTGTTGTGTTAATGTAGCGGTGGGAAGAGGGAAGCGGTGACATCAGGTCTCACAGGTAGCTCCCTAATTTTAAACCAGTTGGGTATATGGAAAATCAGACTGCGGGGTGTGTGTGTGTGTGGGGGTGTCTCTATAATAAGGTCTATGTCACACTGCATAAAGAGTAATTTCGTTTCCCAAATATGTTTTATATTCTATCTGCTACAGACATGTTCTGCTTATGATCGTGAAAACTGCAGCTGGCAGGATGAAAATAATGTGGTGGCACAAAAGTTGTCTGGTCTATAGGTTCAAAGATCTTAATTCTATTCACATAACTTCCTTCCTTCCTTCAATTTCTTTTTTCTGTATACAATCTGGTGGGAACTGTTGAGATAGATAGGAAAAGGATTCTTCATGCTAACCTCTAAATCCAGCCCAACAATCTGATGATTTGGGAAGAACAGACCACAGAACCCAAGATATGATGGTTTCTCTCTCCTGCACCAAAGATTAAACTAAATCAACGATCACAAAAATTGCTGCAAAATAATACTAGGTAGTATAAATAACTAAGTTTGCAGCTTGCTTTTTCTTCATGTTTTCTTTAGGTTTCTGAGCCAGTTCTAATATTGCATTTGCCGTTTTGTAAGACATAGCTGAACCAGACTATTATCATTCACGTATCACTATAATTTTTGTTCCCTATTTTTGTCTATGTAAGAATGAATAATCAGAAGGAAGCTGCAAAATGTAGTATTTCTTACTTCCACTTGCACAGGTAGCTCCAGTACTTGGTGTCTGGAAGAGCTAATTCATGAAAGGATTGCTTTTGGCACATTAAGCAAGTCTTTCACATAATCAATCACAGTATTCGAGCACCAACATGAAATAGCTTTATGTGCATGTATTGGAACACTTGAAGCAAATATAGCCTCATTTACATCTTTCAGATCTTTCAGATGGGATGTGCTGCTCCCATATGAACTCTCCCTGCTCCCACAGCTGGATTTCTGAGAGGATTCTATTTTTCCTTTGGCCTGTTAAGTTCCTTCTGAAAATAATGCAGGACTGCTGAAATGGCACCAAGCTCCTTAGAACATAAAAGGATTTTGTTCCCAGCTAAGAAATAACAAGTAAATGCACATCTGCAAACTCTGCACACTTGGGAACAAAAGGACGGAAGGAGCAGAGCTTATTTTTTTCCCTTGCCCTGAAAATAGGCTCAGATACGTGATCAGGTTAAGCTAGTTTACCACATTACCCATATCAGCTGAGTTCTACGATAACTTTTCATGTGTAGGTTTTTAGCCCACAGCAATGTAACATAATCGGATTTATCACAACTCAGTAAGCTGAATTATGTGAGGACATTTGCAAGAAGCTCAAAATACAAAAATAAGTATTTACTACACCTCAGTTGATTTAGAGTAACTTGTTAATTCGCTGTGACTTCATTGTATATCTGAGACTTATATAGTTTTGGCTGAATAAATCTAGGACTGATCAAGAAACAAAAATTATCCTATTGAGTTCTGAATGTTGTTACTTTAGAAAATTATAGCACAGGAAGCTGGCATCGATAGTTTTTTGAAATCTATTAACTCTAATTTCATCTCCAAACAATGTTTTTTTACTTGATAAATATTGCAGGTGTCTTTATAGTTCACTGTAATAAGCCTACAGTTCCTGTTTGGGGATCTGAAAGCTTCAGCAGCTGGTGTCCTGCTCTTTAAGACTGTTAGCATTTCATAGTAATAACATGAAACACATTTGGCAAGCATAGATGGCCAGAAAAAATAACACACTTGGCTCAAAGTATTTCTGGGAATGAACAACCTTTTGTAGCTCCAGTTACTACATTGCTGTTGGAATGAGACAAAAAGAAAAAGAATAAAATAAAAGAGGCTCCAAAGCAATGATTATTGCGATCTGACCTATACGCACTTAAAGTACCTGTCACTGTTGTGACTTCTGTAATTGCATCTGGATATTATTTTTTTTCATCCTGTTTCCCTGATACAATTTGTTTTCCACTGAATAGTAACGTATTTTCACAAAAAATCACAACTGTATTCATGTGGGGGACAAAACGGAGTAAGATCTGTTACATGGAAGAGGACAAACCAGACAGAGCAGAGATGTCTCTGGATAGGAAGCAAAAGGAATTATCTGACTGCCTCATCTGCTTTCTTACCTGGCTATGAGAAATGTTACCACTACCAGTATTTCTGCTTGGGAAACGGCGGGAAACACACACTACCCACTTCTGGTATACTAGGAATAGCCTGGTTTTTTGAGATCAGCTTCATATACTATCACTGAAAAGAAAGATTTGCCTCACATGGAGTCAGTGCAAGAAAGAATTTTGTAATGTTGAGAGGTTGTTACTATCGACCTAGTGAGAAGGACTTATGTGGCATTGTGCACTGATAATTCATAGGAGCCTCCAGAAGTTTTGATAATAACTATTCTGGCAGAAAAGAAGGAAGCTGATCAAATGCAAATGGTACAGAACAATTTTGGGGAAGAGAGAAACCCATCTTGAGGCCAAGAGCTCAATTATATAGGGACAGCTTTCTGGAGTGCAAATGACTACACTGAATTTTTGCCTATGAAGCATTATGATGCCTGGATCAAAGCCTAGTCAGGATACACTCCTAGTGAGCTCAGAATTATATAGATGCGCTACTGTCGAAATCATGTTTAGAGCACAGTAAACAAGCATTACCCTGCATACATCACACTGCTGGAGAAGCAGACTTGCTTCCAATAGCAGCTGTTTCTATGAAATATGCATAATCATAGTTTAAAGACTACCAGACACAGCATTTCTTAATTAGGTACAGTAGAGAAACATCAGGCACTCAAGACTTTCTTATTAACATTCTTTCTCTCCCTATGTGGAATCCCTCCTTTGACCTTTCCTCAGAAGTTTAAAAGTTTGCAAACTCATCAAATCCACCTCTTTCCTTTACAAATTTTCTTTTGGTGACTTCTGAAGATTTGAGAAATTATTGAGTTCTTCATATTTCCATGCTATTATTTGATCCACAAGGAATTTCATTGCCTTCCTCCTTTTGTCCTTTGTTAAATGTCATAATCTGAAGCTGTATAAATCCATAGCTCAGTCTAGCAGATTTACACATTTTGAAGGGTCATGAGTTTTTCAATTGAATTGGTTTGCACTCAGTATCCTCCATGCATCAGCAACTATAGTATGGTAAACTTATGGACTATTTTTATATAGTCTTCAATCTGGCAAACTCTGATTGAATTCAGTGGGGGGTTGCATTTTTCTGAAATAAGTACAACATTTTTCTGCAAACTTGGTACTGACTTGTCTGAATGTGCTCAAACAAAATAGTACTATTCAATCTCCTGTCAACATCATCAAAAAGTAATAAAAATTCAAAAAACCCCTCATTTGCAGTAAAATGATGGAAAAAATTGTCTTTAACTGTAACAGCTGCTGTCCATCCCATGTGACCTCTAACTCCTCAATAGAAACCAATTCTCCATTACTCCTAAGCTCTGGGGGTAAAGTTACTGGCTCTACTCATATTTGATTATTATTATTGTGAACTCCAGTTTATAAGACTGTATGTCATGTGGTGGAATGGAAGCTATAACCTCTGTTTTCTTCTATACCAGAGCAATTTAGAGATGTGGAAAGATTCAAGAACTTTTCTGTCATGGGAAAGAACTTTTTCCCATTATTAACCCATGACACATCAGAACATGTAATGATTAAGCTGTATATGAATTATCATGATTTTGTACCAAGATGAGTAAGACCACAACAAAAAGCTGGATGGAAAGCATTATTCTGGGAAGCATTAGTACTCATGAGTTACGATAAATTAACAAGTCAACAAATATTAAGTTAAGGTGGAAAGGTAAAAAGTGTTATTTTCACTTCCATATTTAACTGCAAAATAAAAACAATAGTAATTGTTTTCATTATATTTTTTTCAACAGTCTGAGTTTTGATTATACAATGATGATCATAAATACACCTCATGAACTGTCAGGATATACCACAACTGGCACAGCAATGCACAACACATCAAATTAGCACTAGCTAAAACAGATCATTTTAAAAAGATGTGACTTTCAAAAATCTGCTTGTGCTTTTTGTTTCTTTTTACTAGCCTCCTGTGAAAAACGATTTGTTTGAAACAACTCTAGGCATT